TACAGGCCACAAAAGTCTACAAAAGCATATAATTGCCATACACAAGGTGCTTAGATACTGAATCATTTATTTATTTAAAACTGAGATTCATTATAACTTAATGTCATACAAATATTTCACGTGTTGCTTCTGCAGCAATTATTTTTTACACTGATTTTACAAGTCAAGGAGTTAAAAAAAAAAAAAGGACGGCCTACTCCCACAAATTTAGTGTAATGATCTTCTTGTTAAAAAATACTCAGATGGTTTTAATTCTGCACTTAGTATCATGTAAACATAGAAAAGTGCATGTTTTGTAGAAAAGGTGTGTAATTGAAGAGCCTTATATGTTGTGTTGGTTATAAAATCAAGGAAGCAGGATGGATTTCATTATGTTATCTCTGAATAACACTGCCAAATCATCACACTCTGATGTGAACGTAGTGTCGGAGAGGCTTTTTGGAGCTGGATTTACGAGGCTGTTAATAGCTAAGGAGATCATATGAGGATTACAACATTGTGATTACCAGTTACCAGTTATGATAATTAAAGCCCTGTGCATTTCTAAATACTGCGTTAAACAGCGAGCTGCTCTTTGAGAGTGCTGAAATAAACCAGTAGTCTAGTTTTCTCTCTTTACTTTTATTTTATTTTGTCTTTAGGTTGAAGACATCCTTAATTCAATTTGGATGTATTCTGTGTAGTTCTGTGCTGTACTGTGAGAGGTAGCCTCTAGCTAATTATTATAGCTACCAAACCATCACAAGACGTGGCAAGAAACTTTGAAGGTAAATTATTAATAAACTTTAAAATTCTCAGCAACTTCAGGCATAAGATAATATTCCATAACAATCATCTATTACAATAAATACATCCGTCTTTAGACCACATGCAAACTCTAGGCTCAGTTTGTGGGTGCAGCTATAAGTCAAACAAAAAAAACAAAAAAAACAATGACATGCGTTGAAGGACAAATCTGAACAACTGGCTAACGGTCGATTTGTCCTCATGGTACCTTTGCTGGAATTCAACCTCCTTGGATCTAAAGAAAGTGCTTCCTTGTAAAACTGTACTTTCAAGTGGTTTCCCCAAGTACTTTTGAAGGGGCTTTCCAAACCAAAAGTTGCATGAGAGGCTGGGAGCAGCAGCCACACATTGGCAGAAATGCACATACATTTAATTCAAATTCTGTGTCTTAAGACTCCTCAACTGGAGGTACTTTCAAAAGTGAAAGAAATTACTGGTGTGAGGACAGAATCTGGCTCCAATTTAGCATTGGAAGGAAGATGTTGAAGAAAATGTAATGAGGGAAAGGTCTGGAAATGTACAAATTTAGACAGGAAGGGGCTGGAGAAAGAGAGAGACAGAAAGAGAAGTTGAGATGAGAGTAATGTCCTTGTGTGGATGCAAGTTGACAGGTAAATTAGCACTTGTGGCTAATGGGGCAAAAAGCAGCCAAGCCCTTGTAGGCACCCTTTCACTCTGACAAACAGGCAGTTTGTTGACCCAACCATTGCCTCTGTCACTCCGTTTCTCAGTTTTAGCATTTAAACAAACACCCTCCCACTTTGACACTCACACACTTACTGACATACTAACAACACACACTCCAGCACAAGCTCACATTAAGCTGCCATGCGTGGGCGCAGAGAGAACTTAATCTAATAGGATTTAGAATGAATCAGAGATGAATCTTGAAATGTTCAAAAAGGTTTTGAGATGTTGGCCTTTTCACTGATCATCTATCATGCTTTTTTAGCAGAAATGAGAAGCAGTGAAAAATCATGGATCACAGCATGCATCATGAATAGCGTGTGTAGAGTTGTTTACAATCTGCTCATCAAGGCGAGGGGTAAATCTCTCTCATGCAGCTTACTTTTTTCTCCACCTTCCTGCACATAGCCGGAATCAATAGCCAGATTGCTCGTCTCTCAATCTCTCTGCCATTCGTTTTTCTTTCCAATCACTTTGCTGGGTATACCCCTTGATGCCATGTTTGAGTCATAAATCAACGCCTTTGCAAAGTGGGAGAGGTGGGAGTGGACGTATGTCCTGTATGTGCCTGTGTAGCGAATATGTGCACATGCATAAGTGTTTGTGGATCTGCCTAAGAGAGACCACGGTTGAGTATTAGCACATATCAGTGTGCCTGTCTTCTCGTAGCGGGTGTCTGAATGTTTCATCTAATCATTAAATGCTGACAGGCTTCACAAAGTAGCGCCACTGATCCCCGTCAGAGGAATACAGGGCCTGACTTCATTAGCCCTGTTAGTACTAAGCTGCTTTACCCTCACTCACGCCTGGCTTAACCTGCACAGTGATAAATGCTGAAAGGAGAAGGGAAGATAGGCAGAGGGAAAGACGGGTGAAACAAAAGGGAAGCAGGGACAAAGGCATTTAAAGAGAGAGGCAAAGGTACCAAAGTCAGGTACAGAGGATGAGGAAGTAAGAAATGGGAGGGGAACATTAGGGCACAGAGCGTGTGAACCTGGCGTTTTCAGAGGCAGGGGAGGGGATAAAGCTCAAAGTGGTGTTTGAACTGTGAGGGATTTACAAATGCAAAAATGAGCAAAACAATCAATTAACTTGTGTTGCAATTAATCAATTATTACGCCAGCACATCGACAGCCAAAGTGCTTAACTGAGACTCCAGCGTGAGGCTTCGGTGTGTTGAAGAATTAGCATTGACCTCTGTGCACACATATGCATCCACACTCATGCACAAGCGAATCCATGCTTGTGCATATGCATCTAAGTACATAAAGATATGCACATACATCTTTGTTCTCAGCATATTTCTCCAGTACATTCATCTGGTTTCCCTCCTACCAGGAGCCCCACTCCCCTCTCACTCAGTCTTTTTCTCCTGCCAGCAGAGGTTTTTGGCTGGCTTAAGTACGCCCACAGGCCCCTGAGGGACAGCCCATGACGGATGGCACTGCGTGTGACTCCAATTCGATTCAGCCCATTTGATAAATTTATTGCTGGCATTTTGAAAATGAAATTAGAGGGACGTCTCCTAGAGACTGTTTTTCCAGCACAGGTGCCATAAATATACTTCATTTGGCAGAGGAGAGGGAGGAAGAGTGTTAAGGGGGTGGAGAAGCGTTGGATAAAGGATGTCATGGCAGGGGGGCAGATAGTGGGGATGTTCCACAGAAGTAAAGAAGTAAAGAATAAGGTCACATTATAATGAGGTTCTGTATTAATCATGATATTGGCAAGGAACAACAGTAAAGGTTATTCAGCAACAGTCTGAATACTCCCTGGACCTAAATACTACATGCTATCCTTCAGTCTAACACATACTGTTTACTGTTACATCCTTCTCTTTAAACAGGTGTAAGACCCTCTTTCATGTTGAATATTGATGGAATGACAACTGTGGGTTGTTGGCATTGCCAGTGCACACACATGTCCTGCTTTTTCCATCTTTCATGCTCAAGCACACACTCACACACACCCACATACCCACAGAAAAACTTGTATGTCCAGTCTTCTAGGAGATGTGCAGACACAAACACATGGTTTATGTACATTATCTTTGCCTCAAGGCCCCATGCCTCTTCAGTACCAATGGCGCTGTCATAGCTGCATAGCCATCTATAACTCACAGTGTATGAATGAATACGGCAGGCTATTTTTCTCCATGACACTCTCAATGTGTGGGACCAAGAGACATTGAATGTTTTTGTTGATGCTTCTGACTGAACGGATTTGAACTGGACATGTTGCACGGGAAGAAAAGAAAGACATACAAACGCACAAGTCCGAGATAGACGTGGACACACACACAGGCTAACAAAGGTGAACATTCATTCACCGCTGGGGTTGCGTGGCCTTATTTGTCTCCCTCTCGTTCAGATATGTATGCAAGTGCGGCTGTGGAGGGATGATGTACGGCGAGCCAGCCTCTGCTCCCCTTCAACATTCATCAGCGAGCGAGGCTTGGGCAACCGACATCACTTACCTTTATAGGCCCATCTGACAGCATCGCACACCGAATAGTCATCACATACATAGCCCTCACAACGGTGTGTATGTGTGTGAGTGAGGGCATACTAAGTGTAACCTGTCACACAGATGTAGTCTGTCAATGCCTCTTGCACTGTATCTGCAAGCGGCTTGAACAGATCTGGAGCCTTGTAAGGTGAAAAATGTCACCATGTTCCCAAAGACACACTCCTGCTGTTTAGGTATTTCAAATATACATGTTGTGCACATTATATCAGACCCAGGTGACAATGAAAATATTTTCACCTGCGTTCTGTTCTGCTCTGGTATGAGCTCGTGCGAAACAAAACCCAAGTTCTTAAAAGCACAGCAGGGAGTCAAAGAAAGTTTCAACAAAATCAGCGGGGAGTTCTCCTGAGTGATTGTCTGCTTCTGCTTTGCAATCACAGAGCGTGACACACCCTCTACCATTACTGTATCTTCACTATGAGGAGGAGAGAGATGGCACTGCTTGGTGCAACACCTGCAGGCTGCCACTCAGAACAAGACCCCTGGAGCTGTTTAGACAGTTTGACTGTCTGGCCTCATCATCTTACAAAATCAAAACAGCCTACAGGTACATTCCTACACACACCTCCCCTCGCTACACCTCCCGCCTCTCCCCGAAGATCCACTATGCAAAAACAATCACCTCCCCCAACCTCACATTAACACACATATGAAAGTGTGGAGGAGTCTAAACAGAACTTTGATTAGTCTGAACATAAGACTTACAGAAAGCAGTGCATAAACACAGACTGTGGGCTGTCTATCATTGCGGAATCGCAGGATAATTTAGTCTAGGTATCAGTAGGTGTGAGTGATTGACTTTGTAATCAAACAGATTGTTCTGTGACGGAAACACTGCATGACTCAATTTCAAATCAGCATCAACAACACCAGGAAATGTTATTCATCTCATTAGCAAAAACTGAGAATCCGCACAGACACACAGAACCACACACCTACATGCCACCCATCTGAAAATGCAAGGGGATCCACAGGTGACTGATTGAGGGCTGTCTTACCTTTTTGTGATGATAGTGTGGTATCTGTAGATAAAAGAGAGGAGACACACAGAAGAATGTGTTAGGAGCTGACAGGCTGCTGCATAGCAGACACTTAAAACGCAGGAGATGACAGGGTTGGGGGGTAAGGGGGTGGTTGGGGGGGTACAGAATCAGGGAGGGTCTCTCATCTTAGCCCTGCAAAGAATATCCACTTTGCCACACTCATTCACACTTAGCTGTGCCTGAATATGCAAACACACAGGGGAAACATACAGTACATGCACTACGCAATACCCACAAACACGCATAGCAGCTTTTCTCCAATCCATAAAGAGGGACTGTGTGGACGAAAAAAAAAAAAAACATCTGAGTAAACGCATCGAAGAGAAGCCTCTAGTAGAAGGATGAGAGTCTCCAGACCCCTGCAAATCCTTGATCTCTTACACAATTTACCTTGAGTGAGCTTTCTAATAAGTACAAATAATGCCACTGAGGTGCAGCAAGACAGAGCAAATCAAATCCTTTCCTTAAGCATTTTAGGTTCTTACTCAGAGCCCACAAGAGACACTCCCGGCCCACAAGGCATGGATCAAAACATGGGCTGCTTGGAGGAAAGGATGTACTGCAACACACTTTTTATACAACACAGAACATTTACAAAAAACCCAAAAGGAAGGGCATGTGGTAGCGAAGGAGAAAAATACAGTAAATTTAACTTATTGTTCCTATAAAATATTAACCAGGACAGTTTTTGTAAGCTCCCAAGGTTTCATTTTTATTTAATAGACATGTCAAACTCGCAGTGACTAAAGAATAAATAAGAAACAAAGACAAAATACTCTTTTTTATAACTTTCAGCAGTTCAAATCCTTTAGAACATTTCTCTACTGGCCAGTTGCCCAAAAAGCCCAACTGGCCACAGACATGGGAGGGGAATAATTGAATCCGGATGGATTTGTGGTGTACTGGGCTGAGGAAGTGATAATCCAAAGCTCTGCCTAATTGCCAGAGTAAAGACAGCGTCCATTGTGGGGGTGGCATCGGTGTTTATCAAGGCAGTGTGGCGTGGGATTGGACTGAGCATTAGGGCTTTACACACTTTTGTTTTGTGAGGTGTTACAGTGGATTTGAGCAAACATTGGCCCTCTGGTTATTACATGGTCTGATTGTCTGCTATGCGACTGTCCATAAGCTCTGCATGTCTACCCTAATCTGAGAGGAGGCTTCAAATAATTAGTTAGTGAAGCACTCTCACAGCCCAGTGCAGTCAACCTTATCACTAAAAGAAAATCCTTGGTCCATTTCCTTTTCACCCCAAAGGCTTACAAACTCTCACCACTGTTAAAACCCTCAGGGTAGCCACATAGCCAATAAAATATTATCCAACATGTCATAACCACTGGCCCCTATCCTACTTTTTTGTCATTTGTTATGTAAAAGAAAGACTACAGTATGTCAAACAGAAATGTTCTGGCAAGTGCTAGTAGTACAAGCAGGCTGTGTTAAAAATGTCACGGCTAACTTTTCTAAGTAGACCATCATTTTCCAAAGATTATGAAACATTTTTCAGAAAACTGAGAAAAGGAGAGATAAGTCACTACCTGCTTTGTCTGTGGTGACTAACATACCTGATTTGTCCATTCAAAATTTCAATTTATTTTCAACTTCTACCTAAGATGATGACAACATTACAATAATGGGGGAAGAGAAACAAATCTGCTGTTGAGTTATCAGTGTAACTTAATAAGTTGAACACAGTACTGTGGATAAACAATGAGAAGGTGAAGCTTTCCCAAACAGACCTTGAGATCCCTCAACAAAAAGCTTGAGACAAAATAACTTAACTTTGATTTAAATTTAATGTAACAAGGCATAATTTAAATTATGGCTTAATTAATTGCCCCTATGCACAGCTACCTGGAGTAAACAGCAGGGTGCTTCTCTGTGAGCCACTTTCTCTCTGTGCACTCTGATGGGGTAGGGGAGAATTTTGAAGACAGTGTAATAACATGCTCTCTATTACCAAAATTTTAATAATGATAAATAATGAACACACACCAGCTTGGTGATAATAAATAATCAAAAGGAAGCACGTCTCTCCCCTCTACAACTTGCTGGGTCGGAGCAAAGATATCATGCTGATTGGTGTCAGCACACATAAATAACTCTGTGGTTTAGGGAGGTAAAGAAAACCACCGTCATTGATTATTGCATTTCTTCCCAGCTATCATTGGCTTATGTGGATTTGGAGACTAATTTGCAGTGAATATGTGAGTGGCGTTTTGATGTGCCCATGCTCCCGCAGCAGTACTCCTGTGGGTTTGAGTACTATGTAAAACAGGCCATATGTCAATACAGCTTTCCCACTGCAAAGGAATGTATGCAAGCTGAGTAAAGTTATGGCTGCCCAAAAGCATGCCCAAGGACACTAAAGGCTACATTTTGGAAATGCATTCAAAAAATGACCAAATAAAAATCTCCCAGCTGCGTTGCTTTACAGTTCAGAATTGCAGCCTTTCACTGTCATAGAGGATGAAAGAAAGTGGTAGGGGAGAAAAGCAATGGAGAGGAAGACTGGCACAAGACAATTCCTTATTTCCTTACTATTTAAGTAAACATGTGCCTTTTTACATCAGACTGTAATGAATGTTATTTCTGTGGTTTGAAAGGAAACCAGTCAAAAGGCAAACATAGACCACACCGCATTTTAGAGATCCCAATAGTGTAATAATCAGGAATGGTGACAGAATATTCATGATAACATACAGTATATATCATTCATCTTGTGTTTGATGACTTTTTGATCTAATACACAATAAAGCTAATAAACATTATGACATGAAAAACTGTCAGCTTGAAATTACACAAAATGACAGGCTACATTTACTGTATTCCCTTTAAAGCAGATAGGGAAGTTTCTGTGCTTGAATTGTATGAAGTGAGGCCCTACTGACTGACATCCACAGAAAATGGGTTTACACCAAAATCCTGGATCCATAAAGGGATCATAAATAAAAGAAAGAATCATTAATGATGCTTGCACACAATGGGAAGTAACTACTAAGCCTTCTGCCCTGTGATGTGGGATGTGTAGCTGAGAGATAATAGGGTTCAACACTATCCATGTGGTACACATCAATTGGGGAGCAGCACCACCAAGATGGTTTATGTTGGCACATTTACAGCACTAGCTAAAGACAGGCAACCAATAAAATAAACACTTTCTTTGCCCATACAAAGAACCCAGCTTCGGTTGCTTCAGGCCCTGTTTTTAAGACCTTTGTTCAGTGGTGAACATGTGTCATATAATTCAGGGGTATTCAGAAACCGGTAAAATAAGCTCCTCCTTTATTTTCCCTGGTGTGGTTGCCAACCATCCTCTTTCTGCTTTGCCACGTCAGCCTGCCACAGCAGAAGAAAATTCACATATGAAGAAGAGAAGGCAGCAGAGGTAACGACTGGCTAGTTGAAGGAACCATTACAGCTTTTATGTCACCATCTCTTTTCACTGTAATTTTTGAATTTTGAAAATTAAACAATAAGGGTGTTCTGCACTTTATCTATCCAGAGGATGGACGGGTTTTTTTTTTGTCTACAGTAATTTTGACGAGACCCATTCACTTGACAGAGGAAAAAAGAAAAATGATTCTCTATCGAGCTGAAGTTGGGTTTTTATACTCTAATGCTCTCACATGACAAATAACACAAACGTCGCCAAACTGTGCAAAACATGCTGTGTTGTACAAGTTGACAAACACTTTGTACCATAGATGATTGTCATTTTCAGTTGTCAGCACTTTTTTTTTGCAGCTTGGCACAATTTGTACCATCTGTCACATGTGAGCATCAAAATATAGAAGATTATACACAAGGCAAGATTCAACTTGGGGGAGAAAGCTTTCTCTCTTTGTCACCAATGAGCTGCTTCTTTCCAACCTTACTGCATGTCTAAATGAAGAATTTGCACACCTGCACCACACTACATTGGAGCCATAAACATTGTGTGGATTTAACTTTAGTTAATGATGATAGTGACCACTATCATTAGCAGTGATAAGAGTAGCTCCAAAAATAGTATCACTCAGCTGAAGATGAAAAATTTCTTAAGATTTCACCCTGCTTTCCTCTTTTTACGCTCATCTTTCTCAAAAATCGTTCCCATATTTTGAACATTGTTTACTGTTACAAACACCGTGTTACACTCATTGCGAGGACAGCTGGATAAATTTGCCACACAAATGCTGTAGAGCAGCTGTTTCTAAGGGGTAGATTGCATTCTTAAAACTGTAAGAAATTCTCTGTTTGGGAATTCAGGGAAAGAAAAGTTCATCTTCTGATTGCTGCTCTGCATCTCTTAAGTTGCACAGTTGGATTTCAGAGGTCCTCAAATGCTCTCGGGTCATTAAACTCAGCACACAAAAGATAATGGGAACATAGAACAAAAGCAGTTGATGATTTGCATTTAAAAAATCACACCAATAGAAGGTTTAAGAGACGTTGTTAGATAAAATTAACTCACAGCAGTAACTGACATCCTGTAATACACATGGTCCATTACAGTTGATGAGTAGCCAGGCTCACAGGTAATACTGTAGATGCATGGTGGCTCTCTCGTACTGTAAATGTATGCTAGTATGTGGGTGTTAAAGAATCACCACTGATCCTTTACATACAGTATAAATCCCAGACTGATTGAATTAGACTGCTATTGGAAACCTGTCTTCTACTGACCTCTTAAAGTTGTGGCTTTCCAGCAGTCCTCTCTGGGAATAGTTTTAATTACACACAGAAATTGGGTTCGATTTTATCCCAATCATGAAGTGAGGAATTCCTACAGTTAATCATCACTTCAAGACAATGGGAAACGATATAATCACTGGAAAGGGTTGCAAGTGTGTATGCAGGAATATATATTTCTTGCATGACTCCATCTGTGCATGCACAGAAATGTAAGTACATTCATATACTGTATGTATCTGCATATGAGCTGTGTACAGGCAGTGTGCAGTAAAGTGTGCAGACTGCGATGGAAACAAATGCTG